AAAAGACTCGTGCTCGCTTTTAGCGTCGGCGAGAATAGAAGCGTCTCGAGTTTCAGGCAATTGTCCAAGGCATTGCGATTAAGTAAAAATCGACAAAATGAAAAAGAGAAATTGTTGATGATTATTTAAGTATTCTTAAGTTTCATTAAGTTCTTTTTTTTTAACAATTCTTCTTTATTTTATAAAGTTCAACTTAAAAAAGTGAAAATCTTGTCAGTCTCTTCGAAATATATTCGGACTCTGTGCAATATAACGATTAACTGACAATAAAATTCGCTTCTGAAGAAAAGATTCGTCTTGGGAGAGGCCGACGACGTTGTTCCGATACAGCATGCAAGACAGCGTCTCGACGGTGTCTCATGATGACGACGACGTTCCGGGAAAGAACATCCGAAAGGGAAATGCGAGAGCGTATGTGTCTTTATCTCTATTTCCGTTCGGCGCACGCCAGACGTACATGCGTGCCGTTTTCAGCCACGCGCGTCCCCCGATGCCACGCGACACTCTCAGAAGTCTCTGCAGACGGACGGATAAATGGACGCTCTCGGGTTTCGAGCTCTTGTTTTTTTATTTTTTTATTTCGCTTCTGCGTTTCCCACCTTCTTTTCCTTGATATATTTACCTCTGTGTGTGTGCTCTATACATCATCACGAGAAAATATAATCTATCCATTATTTTAAGAGCTGCAGAAAGACGAGCGACAGAGAACCTGAGTTGTGCGCATAAACGAAATCTGCAATCGAATACGTTTTCGAGAATAGCAAATCAAAGTAAATCCGAAAATTTATTCGCAGTGCTTCAACGTTCTAATGAATTAATTTTTGTTTCTTTCTGTGATTCCAATTTTAGATAGTTTGGATTAGTCTCGGACAAATTAATAATAAACCAATTCAATAATATTTGTCTGTTACAATTTATGTGTTATGCGTAACAATCATACAACTGCAATGGTTCAGACGCTTACTTATTTATTACTTCTTTATGCATTATAAGTTAAGCCGAGTTTATTGAAAAAAAAATTTGTTGTCAAGGGAATTTTCGAAAATCCAATTTTCGTTTTATTTTTCGTAATAAATCTTTTTGTAGAAGATGCTTATTAGCATCATCATTATCGAATTGATTGTATTACTCCAGCTTTTCAATTTGAGTATATTGAAATATTTCTATTTATCAATTTCCGTTGTCACATTTGCTTCTTGCAATTTTCTAATTTAGGATGCATCGCATCTTACGAGCGTTGCGTTTAATCGACATTGCGATTAAGTGGAGAAAAGAGACACAGCGAGCGAGAGAGAAAGAGAGAGACTCAAGAGACTCGGTTGGCCTTAATTGGCGATTTTCAGCGCGCAATTCGTCGATGCGAGATCTAGTTAGCGGCCGCAATTATTACGCGTTCTCGTCACGCGAAAATTATTTCATTCATCGCTATTATTCTCCCACAAGTATTTTTCCACGTGCGTTTCAACACTTGCATTTAACGTCACTCGCGAGGCTGTACCATCACACTTATGCTAATGTGAATTACTTAATTAACATTAATAGCTCGACCTATACTAAGGGGAAAAAATTAAATGCTAAGATGCACAGTTGTTGATAAGGTTCCATTTACACATAATTATTTTGAGAATATCATAAAAGATTAATTTGATAGAAAAAAAAGATAAAATATACGTTTTGCGAGAGCATTGCCGAATGAATTAATATAATGTTACGAAAGTAGATTTTGAATTAATGTAACAATTAATGTAACGTTAATAAATTTTGAAAATTTCCAAATTGTTGCTAATAAAGTCGATATCTCCAATATTTTATATGCACGCACAACAAGAGAATAGATATTTTTGTATGTATAAAGATCTATCGGAAATGATGTCTTCATTTCATATTGATCACCATTTTAATGCATTAATGAAACACTTTTGTAGGTCAGTTTTTCTCATCAAAATAAGATAAAATGGAATCAAGAAAGGATATCAATAACCGTGCATTTTGCAAAGAATCCTCACGTCAGGACGGCCTGAAGGCGGATTTTAATGGCTATTAGTAGATGGATGAGGCTTGTTATGAGATTGTTGATAACGACGTCAAAACGATGTAAGATAATATGTTACAAAGTGGCACTTACCTGATCGTTACGGCGAGCAGGACGATCAAGACGCCCACCAGAACCATAGCGATCACCACCCCGCCTATCATGTAGACGCTACCGGTGGGTGGATCTGCAACAAAGAGTTATTGTCTTATCATTCTGATCTCGCGTGCGGGACAAAAAAAACACGTTCCTTTATTAAACTATTCAAATTTGACATTTAAAGCGCTAAAGGATTAAGACATATGACATTCAAGAATTAGGCATCCTGAGATATCCTATTTAAGATTGCTGCATTGAAACGTCCGAAATTTCAAGGAGACCCAAGCGTATACCACGTGTGAATACAAACTAGCCAAGTCATTTAAATGTCCAGTCGTTCGAATGTCAATCACGCGTACCAAGAATTCGAAAACTCGACATCCACGACATTTAAGAATCTAGAAAGTTTAATAATCAATCAAAAAATGAATATTGGAATTTTAGCAGTGTATATATTCGTATCGAATAAAACAGTGAATTGGATCTTTTACGCACCGATAACTGACTCTCATAGCCATCCTTTATCAGTTTTTTACTTAATGATCAAGCTAGCGTTAATTTAACGGAGGGAGGAACGTAAGTTGCCTGTAAATCATGTTTCGTTAAAATCATTTCATGGGTAGATCGAGAGAGAGAGAGAGAGAGAGAGAGAGAGAGAAGTTGGCGAAGACGGGGAGCGAACCGATTCGAAGCGAACTCGTTCGATCGAGGAGGACGGCGAAGGCCGAGCCACATTTTTCCCCGGCTTCTCTCGCGGCCGCGAAAGAAGAAGAACCCGTCGTCCTTTCAAGTTCAACGCCACCTTCGAGCTCGACTCGGGGCAAAAGGGATTGCGTGAAAAGGGAGTCGCTCAGGTGAGAGTCTCCCGCTTCGTGAAACCCGCTGAATCGTTCCTAAGCCATCAAGCAAAATCTTACAGGATTCTTCTTCTTGCCGGACCCGTTCCCTCGTTGGACCACTTCGTGGGACGAGACGCGCATAGTTCCTCGCGTGACCAATTCGTAGAAACGACGTGCGTAAACACGATATGCGTTTCGCTGAGGCGGAAAAACAAAAACACTCCTTGAGAAACGAAGAGGCCGTTCCAATAGGAGGAAAATACGATTTACTTCGGACGTAGTGAGAGAAAACGGGAGATTTTCGGGGCGAATAAACACATTCTTTGCTTCGCGAAAGAGACAAATGTGTTTCTCTTGGCCCGTAAAGTGTCCTGTAACCATTTCCCCTTGGGGAAATAAAATAACATCCGTAGAGAGAACGAGTCAGGAAGTCCGATGAATTGTGTGCTGCGCAGGGTGATTTCGCAGGGTGATTTCGCATACCTTGTGTACGCGACGGGAGCACACGTGTTCGGTGAATCAGCGGTAATATTCTGATCGTCACGGCGCGGCGGGACGCTCTGCGTCTCGTTCGCGAGCACACTTTGGAACCTGTCCAGTTTGTCGCAAAACAGCCCACAGGTTGCCGTCAGCTGACGCCGTTGGCAGCGGATTCAGAGGCTTTGCTTTTTTGGCCTCGCCGCCGGATATAATCGTCACAACATTTCAGGAAATTCAAATGGCCTCTCTCTCTCGTTGTGGACAGTCGACTTTGAGGACGTCCCATCAATTTTAACCGGATAAGATCGTCACAACACGTCAGTGCGGTTGATCGATCTTGGCGGTTAATGTCGTAGAGGGATATTTCAGAGAATCCACGCGACGCTCTCACAAAGAGATGATTTTGAGGATATTTAGATTAATCTTAGCGGACAAAACACGTTGAAAGAAGCATAAACGAATGTGTCGCTTCGAGAGTTGATCTTGGGAACATTTGATAAAGCACTACTTTTACAGCTTCACCAGAGATCTATATTTAATTATAAATAAGTACATCTCAACCTTTTTCGTTATTATTGTTTTTATTCCTTATTATTCTCTGTCATAATTCAATTTATTTCTTTACTGAAGAACGGCGATCCGTATATTTTCAATGATAATTTTGCTCTTGTAACATTTGCGTGTGTTACATAATTAGATCAGCGTTTTTCAGATCAATTAGAACTTGTTAGATGAAAATTGTACAGAACTATAATACTTGGCCTCACGATAAATAGTGGAGATAAAATGTAAAAATCATGCGTTACATAAGGATTCGTATTATCGGCAATACGTAACGACACATACTGCACTCGTTAATAATGCAAAAGCCTTCCTGCGATGCGCAAGGACAACGCATTAAATGTTTTAATAACTAAAGAGCACGACACTAATACAACTGACCGTCCTTGGCTGAAGTTATGTGTGTTTTATCTCAAAATTGTTCGTGTTTCCAATAGACGATTTGAAATTCTTAGATATTGCAATGAATATACATTGCGATTTTATGTATTTATGTGTGTATAAATATATGTATGTATATCATGATAAATTTTATTTAAAAATGCACACGTGCGCGTGATTAGCTCAATTTTTTCAGACACTGATATATGCGGTTTCTTTTCAATGTTGCTGACAAAGAAAAAGTGACTAATGTAGCAAATAAATATGTAATAAATAAGAAACAGAAATTGCAGCATAAAGGCGGATATAATATTTATGTCATTTAGACATATGATGCATGGCGCTAAAATACTTTTTACTTTCTAAGTCTAAGAGTTTGTCTCTAAGGAAGCTATTATTATAATTCAATGAAAGTCTTTCTACAATTCTTTAATCCTAATTTTATTTAAAAACAAATTTAAAATTTGAACAATCTGCTAAATTTTTGTCGTATGTATAGAGAAAGTGCCAAGGGTAGGCGATAGAGAAGGGAGAGGGAAAAAAAAAGAATGCTTTGTGGGATTCGCGGCGGTTTCGCTATTGGCCGTTCACTTTGCCATTTCTCGATGTAGGACACGGTCGTCTGAACTACGTCACGATATTAAAGACGAGGAAATCTATCCACGCGTCGATGTGCCAGTTCCGTTGTGTGCTAGTGTCATCGACAACGTCCTGATAGATAGTCATCATCGAATATACAGAAATATAGCTACAAATTTCGAGTATAGTTAAATACGGCAATTTATGAACCTTGTTATCTACAAAGTTCCTCTGCTGTCCAAGACATTGTTTGCCGACGTCGTGAAGGAGCTTAAGGCATTGTAAAATATTTGCAGGCCCCTTCTGTCAATCGATCAAACATTCACTTTTCTTTGCAATTTTTTAGATGTGTTTAATCAAGCTTACTTTTATCGATTTCAAACATTTTTAAACGTCATTATACATATATTTAAAAAAATGTTCAGATATTCCTTGCAAAATGCATTATTCCTATCCTTAATGCACGTTCTTACACATATTTATCGATTTTTATCAGTTACTTTTCGTTAAAGAATTAATTACACATGTGACAAAATTATCGATTAATTTTATGCAGTAATAATTCAAGCTTTATATTCATGGCTCTATAATAAAAATAATAAAATACGTTCCGAAGTTACACTTTTAAATTTGCAGTGTCAAATTATACCCAATTTGAGTCTCAGTTTTAACCATTTCTATACATCGCCACTGCTCCTACTCAATATGTCGTTAATTTAACTAAACTAAATAGTTAAAATAATAGATACTGTTTTGTGTTAAAATAATAAATTTCGACATACGTAAAAGTTAAAAAAAAAATTGTTATCTAACTCAAGGTATTAATTTAAACTTCATCCTTTAATATTTAACGGTGTGGATGGTGCTTAAACAGGCACAGGAATTAAATGCAGTCATCTTTAGACTTTCGCTCACAGCTGAATATATATCACTTAACTCTCGATATTGATATTGAGTTGCGATGCTATCTCAGGACCGCCTGCCGTTCGTTCCGCGCCAGTTTCCGACTAGCGTTGCGGCAATGTAAATCACCGCGACATGACTCGAACGTGACAGGGGCTCAGCTTACGCAACTCGGCCGCGTAAATGGTCGTTTTTTTCCGCGATTCCGCCGTCAGGATCGACGACGATGACGCGCGCGGTGTGTTCGCGAAGGGAATCGCGGAAATGTCGCCGGCGTCATCCTCGTCGCAGTTTGTCACATTCCGCAAATCCCGACGTGATGTCATCTCGTCTCCGTGAAATTTCGCGGACGGGAATAGGCAAAGCAATAGTCGGTACGTTCAACGTGAGATTTTTTTTTTTTTGCAAACGAAGCCTTCGAACGATTTTTCAACCGTCGTCCCGTGTCGAGTCGAGTCATCGTCCGCGCGACTCGCGAGCCTCGATTCTTTATATCCCAGCTGCCGCTTAACCCTATTTATAACAGTATAATCGAGACGTTGTGTTATCCCGTTAAAAATAGCAGGGCCGCTCTATGGCGGATAAGGCGCTTGTCGAGCGATAAATCCGTAAATAACTTATAATAAGCCGGCGTAATGAGACGGTGTACCGTACGAAGTGAATGGCTTCCAGGCGTCTCCGTCGGAAATACCTTTCTCCGCTCTCCTACTCCGCGGCGTGATTAATTGATATACGATTTTATCAATGGCCATTCCTCAGGGGGATTTTGACGGAAAATGAATCTGGTCGAATGTGACGAGCGTCTTAAATCTATTAATAAAAACGCACTACCTAAAAACGAAGGAGGATCGAGCGCGCCGCGGATCCTTCTTGATCAAACTAACAATGAAGATGTGTGTAGACTAGCGAGATCTGGTCCAAAAGCCGCAGCCGTTCCGCCAACGCGCGCATGACGAAAACCCATTTTCCATGCGAAACTAACTTCCGGCGCTCTACATAATGCGTAGATGTCCATCAAAGAGGAGCCACCGGATCTCCTCGCCGTACATTCTCAATAAACAAACTGCCCGCAAGTACGACAACCTCGTGTTTTGCTGGCAGAAATCGAGCAGAATCTATTATTTCGTAAAAATTTAAATGACATATACATTTAGTAGTTATCATTTAAATGGTTACGAAACGACATATTTTGCGCAGTCAATCTGCTATTATATTCTGTTATTCTATTGACAAAATTCTATTGTCAAAATTTGCAGCTAGATAACGCTAAAATCTATTCTCGACATATTTGGCTATCCGAGTTCCTTCGTCGATCTGCGAGCCGAGTCTGACATAGTGTCGCAAG